AATCAGTGTTAGTATTATGAAAGACTCAGATTCATAGAACTCAGATTCATAGAACTGTATACATACATATATATATATATATATATATATATATATATATATATATATATATATATATATATATATATATATATGTATATGTAGTTTTAGCTATGTAGTTTTATTAGTATTTTTATTTAATGCTTTGAAAAATAATTTAAATCTTTGCAGACTATAAATACATATGTACTATATATCATTTATTTAAATATGTGGGCAACAAATTATAGATTCATTTTATTTAAAAATTATTATATTATTCTTATTTTTTTAATTCAACTATAGGGGTGCGGCCAGGTAGGGGGCCTTACAAGATAATGTGCCCAGGGGCCCCTGAGTTCTTAATCCGGGCCTGGTAAGCATGTGGCACGGTGGCCTCACAGCAAGAAGGTCGCTGGTTTAAGTCCTGGCTGGGGGTGCGTTTCCCAAACAACATCGTAACGCTTGGCTGAACTATCATAGTACGATGCATTGGTTGGGAAAAGTACAATGTATTGACGAGTGTTTCCCCAAACCCCTAGTTAATCTGTCGCAGGTCCATCGCTTGAACCACATTAGTTATAATGTTAAACGCCCATAATGATGCTCTAAACAGGGCGGAGTAACTACTTCTTTAGAGAAGAACCCATCATTTCTTTGTGCAAATTATACTGTTTTACACAAACACGCATTTAAAATAAAATCCAATAATAGTTTTGGTAAAAACATGCACTCGCTTTCCATATTAACTGAAATATATGTAAACGGCACATATAGGGCCTGTGTTTCCTTTACAGATATTGTTGAGAACATTGCAGATTCTATTCTAAAATATAAAACCACTTACAAAAGCTAACACGTATTCTAATAGCACACATAAATCATAGAAATAAATAAATAATGAGGCTGTTTATTAAAAAATTTAATTTAATATTTAATATTTATTAGGAAATGAAAAAAAAACTTTAATACTTAATACTTTAATAATAATATTAATAATATTAAATATGATGATTATTATTATTATTATTATTATTAATATTATTATTATTATCATCATTATCATTATTATTATTATTATTATTATTATTATTATTATTATTATTATTATTATTATTATTATTATCATTATTAATATTATTATTATTGTTATTATTATCATTACATTATTAATAATATTATTATTATTGTTATTATTATTATCATTATTATTATTATTATTATTGTTATTATTATTATTATCATTATTATTATTATTATTATTATTATTATTATCATCATTATTATTATTATTATCATTATTATTATTATCTTTATCATTATTATTATTATTATTATCATTATTATTATTATTATCATTATTAATATTATTATTATTGTTATTATTATCATTACATTATTAATAATGTTATTATTATTATTATTATTATCATTATTATTATTATTATTATTAATATTATTATTATTGTTATTATTATCATTACATTATTAATAATATTATTATTATTATTGTTATTATTATTTTCATTATTATAATTTTTTTATTGTTATTATTATTATTATTATTATTATCATCATCATTATTATTATTATTACTATCATTATTATTATTATTATTATTATTATTATTATTATTGTGTTAGTTGACACGATGGATTGACGGAACTTGTGACCTTAGTTGGCTAATAATGGTTTTGAGAAATGCAACCCAGGTCAGCAGACATTTCTGTGTGGAGTTTGCATGTTCTTCCCGTGTTTCCGTGGGTGCTTCGGTTTCCCCCACAGTCCAAACACATGCGCTATAGGGCAATTGAATGAACTAAATTGACTGCAGTGTATGAGTGTGTGTATGAATAAGTGTGTGGGTATTTCCCAGTACTGGAAGAGCATCCGCGGCATAAAACATATGCTGGAATAGTTGGCGGCAAAGCAATCCGCTGTGGCGACCTCTGAAATGGAGATTAAGCCGAAGAAAAATGAATGAATGAATGAGTATGAGATTGTTTGGTACTTAAATACACTCAATCCTTGGTTTGTTATTCACAATAGGGCAAGGATTTTCTCTTCAAAGATAAATGAGCACTTACTATTTAGGGCATGCTTATGACCCCTCTGGAAGTCACTGTGAAAAAAGGGTGTCAGCGTTCTCTAAGTGGCTGTCCTACATCGTTTGCCCAATATCATTAATTCAGCCATTCTGGAGATATGGGACAAAACAAACCCCTCAAATGTACCTTTCACTTTTTAAAAGAGCGCAGTTTATCAACATAAATCATATTATTCATTCATTCATTCATTTTTCTTTGGATCAGTCTCTATTTCAGTGGTCGCCACAGCGGGATGAATCACCGATTTCACCGTTTAAAAACATTTCAATGACCAATCCAAATCGGCACCATAGACATGCTCCTAGTAAGTAGTTTTCTCTTAAAAGCGATCACTATCTGCTCATTAGCAACTACAGCAGGGGAGTTCTCCAGATCTACCTGAGCTCAAACTCCCCTCTCGCCTTGCAAATGGGAGGGAGCCCCGGGCTCGAGGATTTTATGAGCTCAGGGCTCTCTCCCGGGACAGCATGCCAAACTTTTAGATTTTATTGCCGGCCCTTGATCAGCCATCGGGTATTGACCATCAAACTGTAATTGCTGCTGACAGCATAGATTAGACTGCTTCACTCTGCAGTTTCAGACAGCAGAACTGTGAGTGCCGAGAGACGGGACGGGGTTCATTCACAGGTCAGACGATGAGTTTGGCTCCGATAGATGAGGAGTGAGATTATGCTTGGAGTCAGCTAAAACTTCTTATGGTATAACCTAAACACATCATGCATCAATTCTGCAGACTGTATAGCTGTTTAAATCGGCTGTCAGCTTGTTTATTTACCGTTCACCAGTGGAGTAATTGTCCTTTGGGAACTAACTAGATATGTACAGTGTTTATTATAGTGAAACAAACTGTTGTGTCTGTCATTTAAAATGCATGTTCATATTGGATTATGTAATATGTTGTTTATCGTATAAAATTATGGTTTTAATCAATTTGACTTCAAGCGAATCATTTTTACTTTAAATCAACAGTTTCATGTCACGTGATCGCTTGACATCACTCCTGCTAAAAAATGTAGATTTTGTTTATTAGTTGAAGAAGAATAAAAAAACAAATAAATTGTATTGTAATTGGGCAGAATACGTATTTTGATGAATATTAAATTAAATTTTTTTCAGGTTTAATTGAGTCAAGTTTAATTTGAGAAACAAATTATTAATTTATTAACAAATCACAGTAATGTTTTTGTTTTAAATCAAAACTTTGGTGTGCTTTTAAATTGTGTTACAGTTAGTGTAGCTGAGTTAGTGTAACTTTAGTTAGTGTACATTCTGCTAGTGTAACTTCAGCTAGTGTTAAATCACTTATTGTTACTTTAGCTAGTTTTAAATCAGTGTTATGTCAGTTTGTGTAACTTCAGCTAGTGTCACTTCAGCTAGTCTAACTTCAGTTAGTGTAACTTCAGCTAGTGTAACTTCAGTTATTGTAATATTAGCTAGTGTTACTTCAGTAAGTGTAACTTCAGCTAGTGTTAAATCACTTATTGTTACTTTAGCTTTAAATCAGTTAGTGTTATGTCAGTTTGTGTAACTTCAGCTAGTGTCACTTCAGCTAGTCTAACTTCAGTTAGTGTAACTTCAGCTAGTGTAACTTCAGTTATTGTAATATTAGCTAGTGTTACTTCAGCTAGTGTAACTTCAGCTAGTGTCACTTCAGCTAGTGTTACTTTAGCTAGTGTTACTTCAGCTAGTGTAACTTCAGCTAGTGTCACTTCAGCTAGTGTAACTTCAGCTAGTGTCACTTCAGCTAGTGTAACTTTTATTTAGTATAATATTAGCTAGTGTTACTTTAGTTAGTGTAACTTCAGCTAGTGTAACTTCAGTTAGTGTAACTGCAGTTAGTGTTACTTCAGCTAGTGTAACTTCAGCTAGTGTAACCTCAGCTAGTGTAACTTCAGCTAGTGTAACTTCAGTTAGTGTAACTGCAGTTAGTGTAATTTCAGCTAGTGTAACTTCAGCTAGTGTAACTTCAGTTAGTGTAACTGCAGTTAGTGTAACTTCAGCTAGTGTAACTTCAGTTAGTGTAACTGCAGTTAGTGTAATTTCAGCTAGTGTAACTTCAGCTAGTGTAACTTCAGTTAGTGTAACTGCAGTTAGTGTAATTTCAGTTAGTGTAACTTCAGCTAGTGTAACTTCAGTTAGTGTAACTGCAGTTAGTGTAATTTCAGCTAGTGTAACCTCAGCTAGTGTAACTTCAGTTAGTGTAACTGCAGTTAGTGTTACTTCAGCTAGTGTAACTTCAGTTAGTGTAACTGCAGTTAGTGTAATTTCAGCTAGTGTAACCTCAGCTAGTGTAACTTCAGTTAGTGTAACTGCAGTTAGTGTAATTTCAGCTAGTGTAACTTCAGCTTGTGTAACTTCAGTTGTTGTAACTTCAGCTAGTGTAACTGCAGTTAGTGTTACTTCAGCTAGTGTTACTTCCGCTAGTGTTACTTCAGTTAGTGTAACTTCAGCTAGTGTAACTGCAGTTAGTATTACTTCAGCTAGTGTTACTTTAGCTAGTGTAACCTCAGCTAGTGTAACTTCAGTTAGTGTAACTTCAGTTAGTGTAACTTCAGGCAGTGTAACTTCAGGCAGTGTTACTTTAGCTAGTGAAACTTTCAATTGTACTAAACAGTGACCTTAAAATTAAGAAAGTGTATGTTTTCTCATCTTGATTTCTGCTCAGATTTTCATTGCGTGGACAAAAACCACGGATACATTTTAAAATGTGTTTTGTGTCTGTATGCGCGCATGTTCTGCAGAGCAAATTAACATTGATACTAATTGTTATGTCAATGTAAAATATTATGCACTAACACAGCCTATATATGTTGTGTTTTGTCTCTCCACAGTCAATTTTGACCACTTTCAGATTTTGAGAGCCATCGGCAAAGGCAGTTTTGGGAAGGTAAGTTCTGCTTTGTATTTATAACCTACATGAAACAAATAATAATGTAATTGAATGTAAATACTGTACTGTACTAAAGTACATGAATTAATCTACCGTGATAGAACTATAGTTTCTATAGTAACACAACAACTATGATAATATAAACAAATGATTCAACAATACACCACATTTTAATGTAGTACAAAGTAAATTATACCACAGTTTTACCACAGGAATTACCCTATAGCGTATGTGTTTAGACTGTGGGGGAAACCGGAGCACACAGTGGTTAGCACAATCGCCTCTCAGCAAAAAGGCCACTGGTTCGAGCCTCGGCTGGGTCAGTTGGCATTTCTATGTGGAGTTTGCATGTTCTCCCTGTGTTGGTGTGGGTTTCCTCTGGGTGCTTCGGTTTACCCTACAGTCCAAAGACATGTGGTATGGGTGATTGAATAAGCTAAATTGGCAATAGTGTATGAGTGTGTGTGTGAAAGAGTGTGTATGGGTGTTTCCCAGTGTTGGGTTGCGGCTGGAAGGCCATTCGCTGCGTAAAACATACTGGATAAGTTGGCGGTTCATTCCACTGTGGTGACCCCAGATTGATAAAAGACTCAGCGAAAAGAAAATGAATAAGTGAATGAATGAAAATGGATTCCAGATCTTTCCTTTATATTTAGTCTTGTCAGAAATATATCACTTATACTTTTATTTCCCCTTCAGGTTTGCATTGTTCAGAAAAAGGACACCAAGAAAATGTACGCCATGAAGTATATGAACAAACTTAAATGCGTGGAGCGCAATGAGGTGCGCAATGTCTTCAAAGAGCTCCAGATCATGCAGAACCTGGAGCATCCTTTCCTGGTCAACTTCTGGTGAGCTTCTTCTAGTCAATATATGATGCATTAGCAACAGGGCTTTACATTAACATGTTTTCCTGTGTTTGTAAAAAAACAATTTTTTTCTCATGGCTTTATAATGTATAACTTTTAACATTTTTGAGCATACACTTTCCCCTTTTGCCACAGTAAAGCCCAAAGTTTCTTCTTTCCAATGATACCCAATTTGTATTTGTAGCTTACTGGGGTCAACTATTTAAAGTAAGGTAGGTGTAAATTCCCTAAAGTGAGTGCTTGGTAAGGCGAGGCAGTGGGTAGCACGTTCGCCTCACAGCAAGAAGGTCGCTGGGTCTCTGGTTTGAACCTCGGCTCAGTTGGTGTTTCTGTGTGGAGTTTGCATGTTCTCCCTGCCTTCGCGTGGGTTTCGCGTGGGTTTTGCGTGCTCCGGTTTCCCCCACAGTCCAAAGGCATGTGGTACAGGTGAATTGGGTAGGCTAAATTGTCCGTAGTGTATGAATGTGTGTGTGAATGTGTGTGTGGATGTTTCCCAAAGATGGGTTGCGGCTGGAAGGGCATCCGCTGCGTAAAACTTGCTGGATAAGTTGGTGGTTCATTCCGCTGTGGCGACCCCGGATTAATAAAGGGACTAAGCCGACAAGAAAATGAATGAATGAATGAATGAGTGCTGGGTAACAAGAAAGCGGCACCTAGCGGCACTTAAATGGTTAAATTTCAGTACGGAAATTCAGTATCGTGACAAGAACCAGTTCATTAATTAAGTTTGATTAGTGAAGTTTATTTATAAACTAATTTCGAGAGGATCATGTGCTTATGATTGCTTGCAGATGGTCCCGCATTATTAAATTTGTGATTCACCAATCAGACGATTCCTAAGCCACTATAAATACCCGAGGTTATTCCACAGTCATCTTCGTTTTGAAGAATCCCCCCTTCCACCCATACTCCTCCTCCTTTCCTAGATGGGTGGCACGGTGGCCCAGTGGTTAGCACTGTTGCCTCACAGCAAGAACCTCACTGGTTCTAGTCCTTACCAAGCCAGCCGACGTATCTGTGCGGAGTTAAGACGTTCTCCCCGTGCTCACATGGGTTTTCCCTGGGTTCCCTGGTTTCCTCCCACCGTCAAAAACATGCAACTTAAGTTAATTGACTAATCCAAATCGGCTCCTAGTAGTTATCTCTTAAAAGCAATCACTATCTGTTCATTAGCTACTACAGCAGGGGAGTTCTGGAGATCTACCTTAGCCCAAACTCCCCTCTTGCCTTCTGAATGAGAGGGAGCCCCGGGCTCGAGGATCTTATGAGCTCAGGGCTCTCTCCTGGGACAGCATGCCAAACAAGCTTTATAATCAATCAATCATCAAGTGTGAACTCTTGTGGCATCTAACATGTGTGTTTGTGAAAGAAAGCATTAGCTAACTAGTGGCATTTCCCTTAACTTAGCTGAAAATGATGCCTGATATCCATTTTTATTTCACTTTCCATTCAGAACTGACCTTCGGGTCACTAGCAAGGCGGTAAAATGATAAAATTGTGTCACTTTCTCTTCACTGATAAGATATACAGCCAGGTACACAACATTCCTGTGTGACTCAGGCGATACTTCAGGGTTTTCTCCCACCGCAGCCGCGATTTCGCTTTTAAAATGGCGGCCACGTAAAATCAGTGTATTAGTAAAATCGATCTAACTGTAAAAGTGGCATGCTGGCTTAGTAGTTAGCACTGTTGCCTTCCAGCAAGAAGGTCACTGGTTTGAGTCCCGGCTATACTTGTTGGCAGGGGCACCACTAGGAGGGGAAGTTAGGATGATTCTAAGGGCCCACACATTTTGGGGGCCCTCAGTGAAATTTTTAGGGTCCCTCGTAGGCTCTTCACTTTCGTCTGCGACACCACCACCAACAGCCCCCCTTCATTTGCCAGTGGCGCCCCTGCCTGTTGGCATTTCTGTGTTGTTCTCCCCATGTTGGTGTGGGTTTCCTCCTGGTGCTCTGGTTTCCCCCAGTCCAAACACATGCGCTATAGGTGAACTGAATGAACTTAATTGGCCATAGTGTATGAGTGTGTGTGAATCAGTGTGTAGGAGTGTTTCCCAGTACTGGGTTGCTGTTGGAAGGGCATCCACTGCGTAAATCAACAATAGTTGGTGGTTTAGTCTGCTGCGGTGACTTCTGCAGTAGAGACTAAGCCGAAGGAAAATTTATGAATGTATGTCTAATTGTAGCTGTGGTTTTGCCATGGTGGAAAACGGGGCATACATTTGTCAGTGCTCGGAGAATGAAATGTAGAGTTGGATATGGGACAAAGCAGTCATTGTCAGGATGCTTTTAGCTTAAAAAAATCAATGGAGCTGAATTAGATTGCACAAGCACAATTCTGTTGAAGAGAAGATGATCAAAAATGCTCTTCACTCCTTTTACTCAGTAACACGTTACCTCATTTGTTTGATTTTGAGCTTAACTCCATGAGATGAGTGTGGTTTAGCAGTGTGATCTCATAAGTAATTAATACTTTAAAGGGCCCCTATGATGAAAATCAACAATGGACAGAACTGTGTGTAGGTATAGTGTGTCCACAGCTGAGATGCACCGATCCCGATAATTGGATCGAATATCGATTCGATACAGCATATTTTTGCTGGATTGGGTATCGGCCAGCCAAATTGTGCGGACGTTATTTATAAATAGGCTCACACAGAATCTGCGCGCACAGAATTCCGCAGATTTTCCATAGAATTCCTTAGAATTCCGAAGATTTCCGCAGATTTTTAGCCCATCATTAATTCTGTTTATTTACTTGAGTAAATGTGTGTAAATCTGTATTTATTCAGTGTTTTTAATTAATTAAAGTGATAATATTGACTAATGTGAAAATGTTCATCAGATTTATACACAATGCAGTTTGTACAGTAATATTTTCTGTCTTTTAGTAGATATATTACATAAGAGGCTTGCTTTATTTATTCCCTCCCTCTACATTAGATCGTGTTTTTAATACTTGGTCAATGAAAGGCCTAGCCACTTTAAATGATCTGTATGATAATAATGTTTTCTCCTCCTTTTCACTCCTATCAACTAAATTTGATCTCCCCAACAACCATCTTTTCCGTTTCTTTCAAGTGAGACATTTTGTTCAAAAACTATTCCCCCATTTTCCTAATTGCCCCCCCGAATCAAAGTTTGATCATATTCTTAACCTCAATCCAAGTCAAAGACGGCTAATAACTACAATTTATGTTGGAATAACTACTTCCATCTCCAACTGGTTTACTTAAACAAACATGGGAGCAAGATCTGGGTATTGAGATTTCTGAGGACCAATGGAAAGACATTCTTAGTTTAGTTCATTCTTCATCTATTTGTGCCAGACATGGCCTACTACAATGTAAAGTACTTCATAGGACCCATTTCACTAATGCCAAACTTTCTAGAATATTTCCAGACAGAAGTGATGCCTGTAACAGATGTAAGCAGTCACCGGCCGATTACCTTCACATGTTTTGGTCATGTTCAAAATTAACAACCTTTTGGTCTAATATTTTAAAAATTCTTTCTCAAGCTCTTAATATAATCATCACTCCTGACCTTCTGACTGCCCTTTTTGGTTATCTTTCAACCCCAACTACACAAACATCACGCTGCGTCATTGCCTTTACCACCTTGCTCGCCAGGCGCGCAATTCTCCTCAAATGGAAACATGTGTCCCCTCCCTCATCAGAAAACTGGATTAAAGAGGTTTTCAATTGCATCTATCTTGAGAAACTGAGACATTGTTTTAAAGGATCACTGAACTCCTTTAACAAAACATGGAGTCCCATGCTGTCAGTCATTGAGAACCTTAACATTTCAGGAACTGCTGACTAGAATTTCGAAAGGGAGAAAGAGAGACTTCTAGTTTTTATTTTACATTTTCATCCTTTGTATTTACCCATATATTTATTTTTATTCATTTTATTTATAATTTTTTTTCTAATGTTATTATTTATTTGTTTATATGTTTATTGTTTATTTATCAGTGTCTTGATTCACCGTTACATACTTATTGAAGGCCTCAGAAAATAGGGAGGGGTGGGTGATGGGAGGGATGGTGCATAGAAAGGGGTAGAAAAATGTAAGGTTGTTTTAAGAGTTCTACAGATTTCTTGTTTTTATTGCTATGTATTTCATGTCATCTCTTTGCTGATAGGACTTCTATTTTTCATATACATTTGCAAGTTTGTATAATATCTGGAAAAAATGCAATAAAAATATTGGAAATAAAAAAAAAAAAGAGGCTTGCTTTGTTTACCAAATAAAGTGAATCTAATTGGATTTGCATTTTAAACATTAAATAAAACGCCCCCAGCAAGATGCCGCCCTGAGCGATTGCCCATGTTGCCCATGCCTAAATCCACCACTCTCTACAATACAATGACTTGCCTAATTACCCTAACTTTAACCTAGTTAAGCCTTTATCTCTCACTTTAAGCTGAATACTAGTATCTTAAAAAAATCTAGCCAGATATTATGAGCTGTCATTATGGCAAAGATAAAATACATCAGTTGTTAGAAATAAGTTATTAAAACGTTTGTGTCAAAAAAAATACGTTCGTTAAACAGAACTTGAGAAAAGAATATATAAAAGAAATAAGGCTAAACTGTTTGAAGGTTGTTTTTATTCAGCATGCTAGTTTAAAATCAGCATCTAGTTTCAAAAGACACTAAAGAAAATCCTACGGCACACATTATGTTTTCATTATCGGACCTCCGTGAAGCATGCCGAGGCAGAAAGCATCATCCTCATCAGTATGTGATGCATGACTGGCTAAATTGCAAATGACTAAATCAATACCGCTGCTTTTTTTAATTACAAATTTGATAATAAGTAAAAAGAGCCCCACAGCGGAGAAGTGAAAACAGCCGTCTCCGAATAACAACGTTGCTGCATGGGACGGTAAATTTGATAAGAATGCGTGGGGAATGGTAATGTGCTTGGCAGTGGTTTGAGGAGAAGGTTGAGAGCGGTGCGTGTGTTTCCCTGCA